GGTGGTGGGAGGGTTGGGAAAAATTTAACAGGGAGAAACCCCCCCCCAAATTCGGGGTTAATATTGGAAAAATAAACAATGGGCGGGGAAAAACCGGGAAAATTGTTCGTTCCGGCCTTGAAGGGGAGAAAGGTTTAAAGGATTGGGGAAAAGTAGAAATATCCTGAATTTTGGAGGGGGGGACCCCCCCCCCCCCCTGTCTTTCATTGGTTTTCGGTCAGGGAAAGTTTTTTTTGGGGGGGGGAGGTGGAAAGGGGAGGGGGATTAGGACCCCCCGGGTTTTTCCATGGTTTTCGGTCAGGGTAGGGTTATTTTCGGGGGGGGGGGTGAAAATTGGATGGGGAGTAGGACCCCCCCCCCCCCCCGCGTCCTTCCATCGCTATAGGTCACGGTACGGTCATTCACCCAGGTTGGGAGAAGCTCTACACGGAAGAAGGCGTGCCCTTCTGGACGAACCACAACGAGCGGACGACCAGCTGGGACCCCCCCGTGCCGGCACCGGCGCCGGCGGCCACCCCAACCGTGGTCAGCGTCGTGTCCGAGGTGAAGGGGATGCGGCAGGAGTCCCTCGGAGCGGAGTCGGAGTTGTTCGAGAGCGTGGACGGCGGCGGTGCCGCGGAGGCCACGGAGGCCGCGGAGGCCGCGGCGACAGGCGTCCCGGTGGAGGGCACGCAGCAGGTGTCGCGGAACCTGGGGGCTGACGGAAGGCCGCTCCCTGAAGGTGTGTGAGGGGGGGGGGGTACCCATGTTTTGCATGCCTTCACGGTTAGACCATCGGTCATGCGTTCTTGAGAGGACGAATATTTGTTCCCACAGGACCGATCACCAATGGCTAAGGCTAATCGCTCCTTCCTACTTTTCTAAAGGTGGCAGGAGCGGGGGGGGGGGGACGTGCTTTGTTGTGCTGTGTGATTTGGTCGAAACAGGCCGACGGCCGAGCGTCGGGGGGGGAAGCGTCGTCTGGATGGATTAGGAGGTCGTGAGGATTGAATGGGGAGGGCGGGGGGGGGCTTGGCGGACGGGCGGGGTGATGGGTGGGTACGGTCGGCGTGAATGGCATATGGCATCGTGGGTGACGTGAGAAGATAACCACCCCCACACCACGGTGACAACACAATACCATGCAAAACCGACGCTTCGTTTTGGTATGGTATTCTGTGCGGGATGTGGCAACTAGTGCCGTGTTTCTTTTCATGGAAAAGTTCTTATAGTTTGTTGGGTGTGTTTCCGAGCCGTACTACCAAGCTGTTGCCCGATATCACCGTTTTGTACCATTCCGCAGAGGATGGCTGGTGTTTCACGTGGGTTAAGTTACTGGGTCGCCTAAGGTGGTGTGAGCAAGGGGGGTCAATAAAGCTTGTGCGGAGAGACGGGCGCACGCTAATGAGTGCTGGATATTTGTACGTGGAGTCTGGTTACCCGCAGATGCCTACAAGTACATGGCACTACACTCCCGCGGCCGATTTGTTGTGTCTCCACCGGGCTAACGCGTCCGGCTTGTTTTTGTGTTTCTTTTATCCCCCTCTTTTTACAACAAAAATTGTGTGGCTCACGCCGTTACACGGAATACTTTATTTATTCAACCTTCTTTCCGCCCGTTGCCCGCTGGGCTACCTCGTACGCTATCGTTGCCCGTGCTCTGCTATCCGTACCCGCAGGGTGGGAAATGCAAACGACCGACCAGGGGATACCCTACTACGTGGACCACTTGAACAAGCGGACGTCGTGGGATCCGCCGATGATGTCCTCCGGGGGGATGAGCGTCATCGCGTCGGAGCTGCCCGACATCCGTGAGAGTGTTGTCCATCCTGTTTCGAGTAGAACGCCTGTGCGAGGGGCCCTCGCTAGGCTTTGCGGGCTAGGCTTTGCGGGCTACTCAGTGCGGCGAGCTGAAGGGGTTGCTCTGGAGCTACTGCTGTGTGTGTTAGGAGAGATGCGCCAAGGGAGACCGAGAGCTTGTGCCATACACTCGGGCAATCTCGTGGAGCAGGGAACTTCCCAAAAGATAGACCCTGGGCAATGTGTCCACTGATTTAGTGCATTTTTTGTGTTCTGCTGGTTCAGTAAGTTTGATGTCCCGATACTCTTCCCGAACGAGCGAAAATGACAAATGCAGCTATAAACGGAGTAGAGAAGCCGTTAGATGGTCTTGTCTTGGTCTTGTCTTGTTTCCATGGAACGCGCGTTCGCCGCTTCTACCTCCGACCTCCCGCCATCCTTTCCATGATGCACACAAATGCGAAAGTCCATCCCTTCCCTGGTTGCCAACCGAGTTTGCTCAACGCTTGCGTATCTCCCCACTGCGCTCCAAGTCCCACCCTCTTCTGATGCCAATCCCCCCTCCCCCCTGCCTGTGCCCGACATCAACAAAAAAAAATATTTACAACAACAAAATTATCAGCCCCGGCGGAGTTGGTTCCGGACTCTGCAGACCTTTACATGGGGGCGGACCTCCTGAACAGGTTCTTCGGATCGTGGATGGGAGATGCTCAGGGGAAGTCTCCGCTCGAAGCGGCGCGGAACGTGATCGTCACGTACCTCACCGGACCCGGCCTCAAGGTGCCGTCTTTCGCTCTGCGTTATCCTTGGCAGGGGGGGGGGGGGGGGGGGGGGGGGAAGAGGGTGGGCGCCCAAACCCTTTCAAACTAAAAGGGGTTTGCCAAACCAGAATTTTGGTCAATGTCACCCTGGGTCCCGGGTTAAGGCGGGAACGAATGGAAAAAACCGGAAAGGGGGGGGGAGGGGGGGAC